CCCTACATCTACTTTGTTGTACATCTGCAAGAGAGTGGCAAGTCAGATCAGATTTGACCATCACTGTCTTCAAATCCCTGCGACTGTCAATACTTTCCAACTCTATCTGGAAGAGCCGATACCGGAGGCAAAATCCCACCGACTCATCTAGTCCAATCATGTCTAAAACCGCAGGATAACACGAGACACAATAAAACAACTGACTTCTGAGGCATGAAGAGACATGAGCTGGAGAGGTATGTGCTTTAGTTATTCTTCAAGAAGTGCTTGCTAAAACAACAGAGATTTATATGTGACATACTTACTGAGAGCATGGACATCAGAGCCTGGGATAAATCATACTCCTCTGCAATGTAATTCAGCAGTCGGTAAAATCCAACCCCTGCGTCTGAGAAGCCATCAATCTCATCTTTGGTGTTGACGACAAACACAAATCCAATCCTACAGAAAGGGGTCAAAAACAAGTATTCAATTTGCAGGTGAAATGACAATCACTACCTGGTAAAGACTATGAATGCCAAAAGTGGACCATATAAACAGCTTTGGAGGTGTGACAAATCACAGCACTAACCTCAGAGGGATCTTATGCTTGTAGAAAAGCTGTGCTAGTTTCACCAGCTCAACACTTTCTTCTCGTACTGGATCTAGGAACAGCACCTAACAACAAAGGCATCGTCATCTAATCTGAATCATAATACATTTACGAATACTCAGTGTCTGACTTGGCTCATAGATGAATTCCAGTTTAGCACAATAATACATCCAGTCCCAGACAATTCTGATAAACAGAGGCAATTGAAAATGCACTCACTATTCTCTTTTGTGAGAGTGAGTCTAACTGTACTAACTGAAATGTAACAACCCACAATTTGACATTTAATCTGAGTCTATCAGAGAAGAGTTTCACAGGGTTCAGTTAGGTAAGTCAAAGTAACAGCTGAACTACAGATTGCTCTCAATTCCATTCCCTTCGTCACCTCTACCTCTCAGCATTTCTGGCCTTCAGGGGACTCACCAGGTTGAAGAAATTGCGTCGGATCTGGCGGATGACTCCGGGAAAGGTGGCTCTGAGTAGCTCCTGTACACCTGTTGGCCAGCTGCGGTACACTGGGTCATTCTCTATGTCATTTAGCCACTAAAAAGTGCATGACAAAAATAGAAGCTTGTGTGAAAATGATGATATTCATGAGTTAAGTGCAAGTAAGCAAACAGTAATCTTGGAATAGGTAGAGAGTAGGGTAGAAAGTACCTCACTAAAGGTATATTCTGACTGGTAGAGTGGTGTTTTTCTATTACTACTCTTTTTACTACATTTCTTCGATGGCTTGAACATGATACCCATGACAGAAATCAAAATGCTGGCTTTATCTGAGGGCTTTTCACTTGAGCCACCTAGTAACAATACACGACTTTCTAATCAAATATGTTATGTGTGATATCAGAGTAAGATGTCATGTGCCTAAAAATACCTTACTCCTTTGCTTTTGTTTGACTTTATCACTCTGTGTTTGTAACCTCCACAAGCAACCTCTCCCACAACTCCAAATTCCAAACTTTCATTCACAAACGCTGTGTATCCAAGGCTGGCTGAATGTTTGGGTGTAACTGCCTTTCCAAGAGCAACCACACCCTATACTTGGCTTTAATGATTCAGTGTGGTGATAAGCGTATCCTGTTATGTGTTTGAGTGCCGGGATACTGCACAGAGTTACATCAGGTAGGCTTTAGGTAGGCTTTTGAAAGTTTAATTTCTTTCCTGTTAACTGTAGTTCTATACCTTAAAAATTAAATCAGAAGCTAAATAAAGCTTTTGCAAGGCACATAACTAAACAGTTCCATGGACAGACATATGCTGGATCTGATGTGTACTTGTTATAAAGCTAAATATAAAATATACAGCTAAACTACCCACCATTAGACAAAGCTATTAGATATGGATTTTTATGATAAATGACCAGAATCATGGCTCCAAAATGATCCATTATTGCTGGCCAATCTGGAACTATTAGTGGTCTTTCTCTCTATAACTTAAGAGTACAAGCATTGTCCCAGTGCAAACGTTTGCCTTGCTGGCACACTGTCATTATCTTTGTCTCTCTCTCTCTGTCTCTCTCTGTCTCTCTCTCTGTCTCTGTCTCTCTCTGTCTCTGTCTCTGTCTCTCTCAGACACACATACTGTACATAATCTTCATCTCTAGAAGGGGAAATGCAAGCTGAAATGACAGAATACTTTGTGGAATGTTGAAAGGCTTAAAATCATCATTTCTTTGGCATTTTTATAGTACCTAGAATATTAAAATGGCCAGAGGGGCTAAAATGAACACTTGCAAGTTTTTAATTTGATAGCTTTTCTTGGCTAACTTCCTAATTAATAACTGAAGTTTCTGGCAGGCTTGAGACCGTTGCAATAGGCTGTTGACTGATCCACTAATTCATACCCTGGTGCGAATACACAGAACATAAAAAAACATTCCTGCAGAGTTGATCTGAGCCAGAAGAATAATGATTTTCAACAGGACTCACCATTATAGCTGGATGTCTGATGTCTAAGGCATAGCTGTCATCCACAGCGTTTACAGGTAACCTCAGCAGCTTGCCCTGATGTTCTCCTTTTATGCCTAGGTTATGAAGCCCCTCCAAGACCCTGGCCTCTCCTCTGAGGATGTCCAAAATGCTGCAAATAACAAATCACAGGTAAGTTATTTATACATATTAGCTGTGGTGGCAGTGGTTTTGGGTTGCAACAAACTCTGATCCTGCTGTAACAGGATTACTGAGCCAATTCATTGATCTGAGACTTCCTGGGGAGAGCACAGGCAAACCACCAATTCCTCCTGTTGGATTCCTACCTGAAAGGGTTATGAATGTCCAGATCGATGTGCAGTCCGTTGATGAAGAGCTCCCCGTCTCCCGGGTGAACACCAATGGTCTCACTGAGATGCTGAAAGAACAAACTCAAAGACTTAGTCGAATGCCAAAATCGCTAAATGAGTGATTCTACCTTTAATGTCTGGTCCTTTGAGAAGAAAAGATGTGCACAGTTACTACAGCAGTAAGTAGAAGAGAGACTAGGAGAGAAAAAAAGCAAGAATAACAAGTGATTCAGATACAGGTTAGAAACTCATTCCCTAAAAATAAAACTTGTGAGATGGCTGGATGTTATCAAAGAAAACCTCCTGCACTATCATGCAGGAGTGCTGCTTATGATATCACACCTTTTGGTTCTCCTCAATTTCCTTTCTCATTTCCTGCTTTACGGCCACTCTTGTCAGTGATCTGTGGGAACAGTAAAACATGTACAGTCACCATCAGCTTTTACCACACCCCCAGCCGGCAGTAAAATGGCACTTTTAATCTTCAAAAACCTGTGGGCTCTCAAGATGGTACATTTTCAGTCAATTCCCTGTAAACACCAGACTCTTACTCAGCACTTTTTGGCATTATTACAAGCTGCCTAAGCCAAAATAAGCGAACATCAAAAAGCTGATTAGATCAATGTATTAAAAATGTATTTATTATAGATATAGTTCAAACAAACGGGTATAAAAGACATATTTCGTGTGTACTTAAATAACAGCATTTGTTTTCACACATTGTCACGCAGAGTAAGGCTCCTTAAAAAATATGGATTTTGGAAGAGTACCAAATGAGTTAGACAGTGAGCCAGAAAGAGAAAATAAGAATGAATGAATTTTCTTACCTGGCTTTGCTTGGAAAGTTCTGACTGAGGTCTCGCATGAACTTCAAAGCATCAAACTTTGGCACGGACATTATTCTGGAAGCTGCCTGGAAACTAAGATCTGTGGAGATCAAATGATGAAATCACCAACATTTATACCTTATATAACTACAAATGCACATTTTATTTACACTAATTAAATCCATGCAAGGTAATCAAAAGGAGTAATTTGCTATGGCACAATGGATATGGTAAAATGATTAACTGCTACAGCAACTCCAAAGCTAAAACAACACAATTCCACACTGCAATAATTACACATTCCCACTGTACTGATTAACTGTACAATCATTAAGCAACTGAAATAGAAAATCGAGACCTTGCATTTCCCACACTTTGAGAGGGACCATGTCATTGGTACTCTCCAGGAGATGTTTGCGAAGCTCAGTAAGTTGCTCCTGGATTTCGGGGTGAGATTTCCTTAAGAGAAGTAAAAAAAAAAAAAAAAGATGGAAGGAATATAAAAATACAACACACAGATTTGTTCTGATGTTAAGTCACACAAGGCAAAGGATGTCTAGCAGCAATAACTGAAAATACAAGGAACTGAAAAAATCTTTATGGCACGTAACATGTTACAGTTGAGTTACTTACTTTAATTTTCCAAAAAGGAATCCTTGGACTTCATCATTATTATCATCCTCAGCATTTGTAACGGTCTTTGAATCTATAAAGCAAAAGATTTGTATTTTATTGCTTTGAAAACAGCAAGGTCCATCACAGAATGTTTGATAAGTTACCAACTGACCTTTTACTTTGGTGTCATCCACGGCTTTGTATTCTGTGCTTTTGATAGCTAACTCAACACCGTACCCAGATAAAAGCATCTTTTGAGGCTTTGGATCCTGCAAGCAGCGAGAAGCAGAAAGGCTTCAGTGTAGAACAGTGTAGCGTTTTTGTGTGTACGTGCATTTCCGTTTAAAGTACTGTGATAATAGACAGTGTTCACAGCAGCCATTTTAACAGGGAATAGTAGGGTAAACACAGCTGTTATGAATGCTACTTAAGGCTTCATTCCTTTAAACGTAGCACAACCTTTGCAGTGAGCCAACATGCACAATAGCAGCACCATGACTCTGTTTTAATGGGACAGAACCTTATTTAGTATAATTTCTAACACCTGTGTTTACCCTACTATTTCATATCAAAATGCCTGTTGCGAAAAAGGTCAATAATCATCAAGACTGCAGATGCATCCCATGGGAGCTGCTCCCTTTAGCTATATACACTATATGGCCAGCATTATGAGGACACCCCTTCTAATGTGTAAGTTCCCCGTTAAACAGAAGGAATTTTTAAATACTACCCAGTCAATGGAAGTTATAATCTATAACATGTTTCACCATTGGAAACATGGACCGCCACCTGCAGCAGTAGATTTACTGACATTCAACTTTGACGCTAATATCACCCAGATTGAAAGCACTGCCTCAGTCTTTCACAGGCACAATCAGAAGGCTTTCACACCCACACTCTGCTTTTATTCAACCAACACGTCTTAAAGAAAAGCAGCTTTTACTCTATCAAAGTCTTCTATATCTCAGTTAGTTTTTGACTTTTCAGAGTTTGAGGAATCTGTAAATTCCTCTCTTCAACATTGGTCAGCAATGCAATCTGTTCAGTCCAGCATTGTTATGATCCCTGCTTTTGTAGGTATTACACTGAAGGAATAATATGTCACTGTTCTATCACTGCACTAGACACCATCTAAGTAAAGATGAAACAGTGAAGGTCTACGGCTCAGAGGAATAAGCTATATATTCGGCTTTGGCTGCACAGGTAATTCATTGCTGTTTTTACACGTTTCATCATATTTGTTGACAATAAGAAAAATGTAGGTTATCACAAGCCTTATCCTTTAAAACTTAAAGACAAAAGATACAAGGACAAGTTAAGACTACTAAATACTAATAACCACGGAGAGACACAGCAAAAAACATGATATAACATTTAATAGGTGGAACATCAATATAAAATAAAAGCATTGCTACTCACCGCTACATAATGCCGCAGAACATATACAAGTGTGCCTTCTCCAGCCTTCTCTGACAGCACTTTATGAAAAGTGGTGAACTTCTTGGTTCCAATCTCAGCATAGAGGATCACAACTGGCACATCTGTCTTATTGACCCCTGGATATGTGTGATCATTCTTGTATAAATATGGTTTTGGCCTGCAAACATTTGGAAATGTTGTTAAAAGACATTTCATAAACAAAATGATTTGTATCAACAACATTTTCCTGTGCAGTTCATCACAGGTAAAATCCAGTCAGTGAAAGCCTCAAAGAATACAATTTTAATAAGAAAATGTCTGTGTAAACTTGTCATCCTGTTCTGCTGTACAGATTGCGTTTATCCACAGAGGGGAAGACAGTGCCAAGTTACCTGCCTGCAGCTGCCTTCAGGAGCTTCTTGATATCCTTGGTACTGCAGCTATGCTGACCATGGATGGAGACAAAAGCAGGGCAAGCCTCAGGCGGAGGCTCATCACTTGCTATCTGTTAAGAGCAGAAGGGAGAGGAATGTTCTCTAACACACTGGCTACAACATGCCGGGCCAAAGTTAATCATAGTTAAACCAGTTACGTGATAGATTTATTCTCAATATTATATATAACAGTTTACAGTGGGCAGAGCAACACTTCATTTCACCAGCAAAAGGCCATTACTCACTCAAATGTTTGAAACATTTTAAAATTAGAAAAATTCATCAACCAGTGAATCTCTGTCACCAAATTACATTTTCTCCTCATCACTGCTGAAACCACAACAATCGAGGAACAGTGCACTGAAATTGCATAAGTCACCCGGTATTAAAGTCAAATTTAGACTACAGCCAACTGAATCGTATCCATTCAAAACTCATGTCATATAAACACCAGTTTAAATTAAAAAATGTTTCAGGATACCTTATGTACTTGTACTTGACAGTAACATTAAATGTAAAATCCCAAAACTAAAATTGTTAGTGTAAAGACAAAAATCTCAATCTTAACTGGGAACCACTGTAGGAAAAAAAATTTAAATCTCCTCTTGCAACTGCATTGTCCATCCACACTCTCCTATCTTGCCTCACTGACCTCATATATATTTTTTGTTGGCAGTAGGAAAAATCATTGGGCCTCTGTGTTAATGTAGTCACAGAGCCTCCTTTGCTAGTATTGCTTTCCAGTCTCTTCTCTGTCCTCTCTGTCCACCTTCCCTTTGCCCAACAATCATGAATTCTTGCACCTCCTCCTCTGGCATGAGCAAGATGTTGATCCTCTCCTATGTCTGCCTGTTTCATATTCAGGCTTTGTGGTACCAACACTCCTCTGTAGTATGAATGTGTTTCAAGAAATTACGCTCCATGAGTTGCACCTACAACATTGCACTTTTTAAGTAAGTTAGCTAAATCTTACATTTATTAGATTTAAAATCTGGTTCAACTTTTTTTGAGTATGGATTTGATTATCTAGTGCCGACTGTGCAAGGCTGTTTGACTCAATTCCAGTTAATGTCACTTGCCTTGTCCTAATTAGCAATTTTATCTAATCTCGAGCTCTGTTTAATGGTAAAGTTCAAGACAATATATAAAATGATGCAGACACATGAAAAAGAGTAACTTTTAGGTAACTCCGGCCATTGTTAATATTCAAGACCTAGATTCTAAAGCCATGCTAGCGGACATTGGCACAGCGCTGCTTTAGTTCAGAGTGTTAGCATGTTAATTAGTACAAAAGCACAAAATACAATAAATGCTGTCATCATTTTTGTTGGTCTTTTAGTCATAAACCAAAGTATTGGACAAACTGCTATTTTTACCTGATAATAGCTGGACAAAAAGTCTGTGTTAAAGACTCAGCCTTAATACATTGGGTGCATGTTCAAAGAGGTGAACTACCAGGGCTCCCCAAAGCAAACTTAAATCAAAGTTATTGATATGCATTACCAGGGTACCATGACCATATTTGGTCTCAATTCATTCTAGAAGATATTTCACTGGATAAGTAAAACCTGACCTGCAGGGGGGGCCACCCATCAACATTGCCATGGCCAAAGCCCCCTGGCCAGGTGTCAGTTATCATAGTGGCATTTTTTGAGTGAAGCTACATTTGCCAACACGTGACAGGCTGAAATAAAATTCTCACTGGAGTTTAGACAGAATACAAGTGGAGTACAAGTGGCCTAATTGATTTGGATCACCAACGCATATTCTGTTTACAGATAATTAACTTTACTAATTAACCTACTCACCCAAATTCTATGAGAAATCACATAAATATACAAGTGGATGTGGAGTATCTCACACAGCAGTTTCAGTATGATGGCTGCAATTTGAAGATTGTGCCAAAGCAACAGAAAACTGTTAGTAAGTCCTGCAGAGCACTATGGGTCAAGATTAGACTATACAGACAATGTAACTGCCTCTAACAACAAATGAACCTGGCTCTCTTGCAATATCCTCAGGCTGCTTTTGGAAAGGTTTTATAATATATACCATTTTGATCACACTTACCTGCTGGGATGCGTGGACAGCTGGTGAGTACGACCGTAGAGCCAGAGCAAATTTCAGGAGACTAACTTGAAGATCTGTGAGGAACTGGCCAGCCTTCTTAAGGATCAAGTTATAGTACGAGCGCACAGACTCTGTGAGACAAATCAACATTATTTAGTGATAATGAGGCTTTTTTAGAAGAGACGCACACCTGTTGTAAATGTATTTAAAATCTGTTCTGATACAGCAATTACACCTGTACAATCAAATGTTGTTATACCTCCATGCTTGTACACAGTGAGCTCTTTCACAGTGTCAACAAACTGCCAGAATTTCTCATTCCCATCTTCTCCAATAAACTCGCTAAAGAGAAAAAGAAAGCATTAGTCCAAACCACAGTGTGTACTGTACCTAAGTAACCATTTCCTGACTGCCCAACAGTTAGAGCTATAGACCACATAATCATTTAATATTTGCTGGTAATAATTGTGCTCTCCAGTCTTGGTTTCCTAATGTGCGCTTTAAATCATCACACAGCATTACACAGACCTTACAGGCATACAGTAGATTTTAATTACAATCAGAATCTTTTCACACACA